GCAATTGCACCATTCCAGGGTCAAAGAATAAATTAAAGACTTCCTAGAATTCAATGAGAATTAAGACACAATATACTCAAACTTACCTGACACTTTGACAGCAGTACTAAGAGGAAAGTTCATAGTACTAAGAGCCCACATGAAGAACTTGGAAAATAGTCACACTAGAGAATTAACAGCACAACTGAAAGCTCTAGAACAAAAAGAAGCAAACTCACCCTGGAGGAGTAGACACCAGGAAATAATCAAATTGAGGGCTGAAATCAATAAGGTAGAAACAAAGAATCAATGAAAGAAGGAGTTGGTTCTTCAAGAAAATCAACGAGATAGACAAGCTTTTATCCAAACTAACAAAAAAGCAGAGAGAGAACATGCAAATTAATAAAATCAGAAATGAAAAGGCAGACATAACAACAGACACTGAGAAAATCCAGAGAATCATCAGGCTATACTTTGAAAGTCTGTACTCCACAAAATTCAAAACTTTAAAGGAAATGGATGATTTTCTGGATAGATATCACTTACCAAACTTAAGTCAAGAACAGACAAGAGATTTGAATAGACCTATAACCTGTATTGAATTAGAAGCAGTCATCAAATGTCTCCCAACCAAAAAAAGCCCAAGGTCAGATGGTTTCAGTTCAGAATTCTACCAGAAACTCAAAGAAGAGCTACTACTAATATTTTTCAAAGTGTTCCACACAATAGAAGCAGAAGGCTCATTGCCAAACTCTCTTTATAAGGCTGCAATTACCTTGGTACCCAAACCATACAGAGACACAACTAAGAAAGAGAACTACAGACCAATATCACTCATGAACATTGTTGCAAAAATTCTCAATAAAATACTGGCAAATTGAATTCAAGAACACATCAGAAAAATCATCTACCATGATCAAGTAGGCTTCAGCCCAGGGATGCAGGGATGGTTCAATATATGAAAATCTATCAATATAATCCACCATTTAAACAAACAGAAAAAGGAAAACCACATGATCATCTCACTAGATGCCGAGAAAGCCTTTGACAAAATCCAACACCCCTTCATGATAAAGGTCTGGGAGAGATCAAGGATAACAGGAACATACCTAAACATAATAAAAGCAATGTACAGCAAACCAACAGCCAACATAAAACTAAATGGAGAGAAATTCAAGGCGATTTCTCTAAAATTAGGAACAAGACAAGGCTATCCATTCTCTCCATATCTCTTCAATATGATACTTGAAGTTCTAGCTAGAACAATAAGACAATAAAAGGAGATCAAAGGAAGAAGTCAAACATCCACTACTCACAGATGATATGATAATTTACATAAATTTATATAAATGACCTGAAAAATTCTACCAGGGAAGTCCTACAGCTGATAAACACCTTCAGTAAACTAGCAGGATACAAGATTAACTAAAAAAAAATATCAATAGCCCTACTATATATAGATGATAAATGGGTTGAGGAAGAAATCAGAAAAACATCACCCATTACAACAAGATAAAAACAACATAAAATATCTTGGGGGGTAATACTAACCAAACAAAGGAAAGACATGTATAACAAGCTTTGAGTCTTTAAAGAAAGAAATTAAAGAAGAAAACAGAAAATGGAAAGATCTTCCATACTCTTGGATAGGCAGGATCAACATAGTAAAAATGGCAATCTTGCCAAAAGCAATCTACATGTGCAATGCAATCCCGATCAAAATCCCAGCACAATTCTTGACAGACCTTGAAAGAACAATCCTCAACTTTATATGGAAAAATAAAAACCCAGGATAGCCAAAACAACCCTGTACAATAAACTTCAGGAGGCATCACCATCCCTGATTTCAAACTCTACTATAGAGCTATAGTCCTGAAAACAGCTTAATATTGACACAAAAATAGACAGGTAGACCAGTAGAATAGAATGGAAAACTCTGATATTAACCCACACACCTACGAACACCTGATTGTTTGACAAAAAGCTAAAATTATACAATGGAAAAAAAGAAAGCATCTTCAACAAATGGTGCTGGCATAACTGGATGCTGGTGTGTAGAAGACTGCAGATAGACCCATGTCTATTGCCATGCACAAAACTTAAGTCCAAATGGATCAAAGATGTCAACATAAATCCATCCACACTGAACCTCTTAGAAAAGAAAGTGGAAGGTACCCTTGAACGAATTGGTACAGGAGACCACTTCCTGAACATAACACCAGAGCATAGACACTGAGATTGATAATAAATGGAAGCTCCTCAAACTGAGATGCTCTGTAAGGCAAAGGGCACAGTCACCAATACAAAACAGCAGCCCACAAAATGGGAAAAAATCTTCACCAACCCCACATCTGACAGGGCTGATCTCCAAAATATACAAAGAACTTAAGAAGCTAGTCACCAAAGCACCAAATAATCCTATTTAAAATTGGTTACAGAACTAAATAGAGAATTCTCAATAGAGGAATCTAAAATGGCTGGAAGATACTTAGGAAAGTGCTTGATATCCTTAGCCACCAGGGAAACACAAATCAAAACAACTCTGAGATATCATCTTCTCTAGTCAGAATGGCTAAAATAAAAAACAACAATGACAGTTTATGCTGGGGAGGATGGGGAGAAAGGGGAACACCCCTACATTGCTAGTGGGAGTGCAATCTTGTACAGCCACTTTGGAAATCAGTATGGCTGTTCCTCAGGAAAATGGGAATCATTCCACCCCTCAGGAAAATGGGAATCATTCCACCTCAAGACCCAGCAATTCCACTTTTAGGCATATACATAAAGTCTGAACATTCCTACAACAGGGACATCTATTCAACTATGTTCATAGCAGCATTATTTGTAATAGCCAGAACCTGGAAGCAACCTAGATGCCCTCAACTGAATAATGGAAAAGAAAATGTGGTAATTTACACAATGGAGTACAACTCTGAGAAAAAAGAAAAAGAAAAAACAAACCAAAAACAACAACAAAAAACAACAAACAAACAAACAAAAAACAACCCCCCTCAATTGGAATCTTGAAAGCAAATGGATGGAACTAGAAGAACCCATCTTGAGTGAAGTAACTAGTCACAAAAAGACAGACATGGTATGTACTCACTCATATATGACTATTAGACATAGAGCAAAGGATTACCACCCTACAATCCACACCTCCAGAGAAGCTAGGAAACAAGGAGGACTCTAAGAGAGACATACATGGTCACCCTGAGAAGGGGAGGAAAGGGACAAGATCTCCTGAGCAAATTGGGAGCATGGGGGGAGGGGAGAGGGAGTTAGGAGAAAGAGAATGGGAGAAGAGGAGGCAGAGGAGGACATGAGGGAGCAGGAAGATTGAGTTGGGGAAGAATAAAGGAGACCAAGAAAAGAGATACCATAAAAGAGGGAGCCATTATAGGTTTAAAGAGAAATCTGGCACTAGGGAAATGTCCAGAGATATACAAGGATGACCCCAACTAAGAATCTAAGCAATACTGGAGAGGCTACCTTACATGCTCTTCCCCAATAATGAGATTGATGCCTACCTTATATGCCATCCTAGAGCCCTCATGCAGTAGCTGATGGAAGCAGAAGCAGACACTCACAGCTAAGTACTGAGCTGAACTCGGAATCCAGTTGCAGAGAGGGAGAAGTGATGAGCAACAGGGTCAAGACCAGGCTGGGGAAACCCACAGGAACAGCTGACCTGAACAAGGGGGAGCTCATGGACTCCAGGCTGATAGTTGGGAAACTAGCATAGAAGTGCACTAGGCCCCCTGAACATGGGTGTTAGTTAGAAGGACTGGGCAGTCTATGGGGTCTCTGGTAGTGGATCAGTATTTTTCCCTAGTGTATGAATGGACATTGGGAGCCCATTTCATATAGAGGGATACTCTCTTAGCCTAGACACGTGGGGAAGGGCCTGGGCTCTGCCCCAAATGATGTGACAGACTTTCATGATCCCCCTGGATGGCCTCACCCTCCCTGGGGAGCAGAAGAGGGATGGAGGGATGGAATGGGCATCGGTAGGGGCCATGGGAGGATGGGAGGAAGAGGAACCAGGATTGATATATAAAATAAGATTGTTTCTAATTTAAAGAAAAAAGATGCAGAACATGGAGCAAAGAGGCAGGGACCATGTTGTGAAGTCTTATTATTTTGGGTGGGGGTACTTGGGCTTGTGTGCACACCTGCACATGTGAATGTGTGGAAATCAGAGGACAAGTTATTGGAGTCAGTTATCTCTGTCCACTACGTGGGTGCTGGGGATAGAACTCAGGTCTTCAGGCTTGTCTGTAAGTGCATTTGCCCATTGAGCCATCTTGCAGGCTCACTATGCAGTTCCTTGATGTGGGTGGTTTAGAGACAGTGAGTACCAGGCGAGTGTCCACATTTTATAGTTGGGAATGCATTGTTTTTTCCTGTCAGTTATTTACGAGACTATTCCAGTAAAGCTATGAAATGAATTCTTGTATTGGAGGGTTATGGGGAGACTTAGAGGGAGCAGTGGGGAAGAGAGATGACTAAGACATATTATATACACATATGGAAGATACATGCAAGAAATTTCCAAGCAATAAATTAAAATCATTATTAAAATGGGTACAAGTGAATTATGTAATTTTTACCTAATGATAAAAGAAAAATTTCAATTTTAAATCAAGATTGAAGCTCTGTAGCCTTTATAACATTAAGTCAAAACCAAACCACCATCACATAATTTTCCCTCTCTTCAACAAGGGAGCTTTGCTTGCCCTACTGAAGAGATGGGAGTTGCCAGAGTTTCTGAAGAAGACACCTTGTAGGATTTCTTAAGGATACATACGCATTTTAGATAGTGTGTGTCTCTTAGATGAGTAATTGGTATACAGTAGGTATCCAATAGATGTCTGATGAATAACTGCTAGGGTGGGAATAGACAAAACATGCTTTTAAGTTTAGAACTTAGGGTAAGTGTCTTCACTAAAGACAAAACAGATGGGTCCCCAGTTAAGTGTCTGGGTGTCAGACTCAATCAGCCTATGGCAAGGCATTACCTTCTGCATTGACCACCATGGTTCCAATGACCCCTTTGTGGCTCTGAATCCTCTTGAGGGTTTCCTCCACCTCAGTCTGCAAGAGATCAGGGCCACCATTAACCAGGAGGGTTTCTGTGGTGATATCAACTCTACTGAGAATAGCTACAAAGATACCTAATCCCCAATTTCTTTAACTGGGGGCTGGATGCTATGTGCTCAGCTATTTAAGAGGTAAGCTTGGAACTGTTACATCTCACATGGGAGCTGTGTATGAAGCCTCCACTTGCATAGAACCTAGACATATTTCCAGGGTTCAGCCTCAGCAGAGACAGGGGGCCTCACAAGGGCTCCCTGTAAGCTTCTGTGTGTCTCCATTTGCTAGGAAAGTAGTGCTTTTTTGTTGGTTTGTTGGTATATTGCCCAGAAAGCTACCATGGGTTATCTTTAAGTGGCTCCCATTTCTATACTCATAAAAACTTCCTTTGTGTGTCATAGTCCTTAAATATTTATCCTCTGAGTGTCCAAAAGCTGCCCTTAGTGGTTAACCTTAATTTCATCTGTCACTTCCTCTGGGGGATTCATTCTGGCGATGAAACTTACAAAGGGCATTCGATGCAAGCAGCATGTTGCAGGATGCTGGGGTCTCCTGATTACAGTGGCCTGTGTCTCGGTTTAAGCTGAAAGTTCAGATTGGAATGACTGTTTGGGATCCCACGGCTGGGTTTCATGTTTACCTTTGTGAGCTGACTGTGTGAACCAGTGTATTCCTTTAAAAAATATATCTTATTATTTTATGAGTATGGGTGTTGTCTGAATGTATGTCTGTGCACCATGTGCATGTTTTGTGCCAGTAGAGGCCAGAAAGAGGGTGCCAGGTCACCTAGACCTAGAGTTACAGACAGTTGTGAATACCATACTGTGCTGGGGGTTGAACCCACGTCCTCTGCAAGAGTATCTAGTGCTGTTAACCACCGAGCCATCTCTCTAGCCTCATATAAAATGATTTTTGAAGTTTTTCTCTGAGAAAGGGTTTCATACTATGTAGCTCAGGCTGGTTTTGAACTTACAGCAATCCTTGTGCCTCAATCTCCCAAGTACTGGGATTGCAGACAGGCATTACATCACAAGTGAATGTTAGGTTATTCAGTCAGAGACCAGGTTTTCTTTTGCACCCAGGCAGATGTGAGCAAGCGCTTGCATGTCTTTCCCATCACCAGAGCAGGTGCTTTCTGAATTTGAGGATATGCCATGCTAGATTCATGGCTTTCCCTTCTGTGGATACCATTAACATTTAATTAGTATGTTCTTTAAATTATATCATGGCCCAAAGCTTAAAGAAATGCATTTGCAGAGGTTAAATCTGGCTCCCCGACACATATCGAAACAAGTGTAAATCAAGGAAGAAAGCATATTTTTATACTTCACTACCATCAAAGTGTTGAGCCTGAGGTATCCTCTGAAAGTGAAAATAAGACATTACTAATGACAGTATTATCGAAAACCTGATTGTGCCAGGGACTTGTTTTGTCCCATACATAGCCTTGGGGAGGGAGGGAGGGAGGGAGGGAGGGAGGGAGGGAGGGAGGGAGGGAGGGAGAGAGAGAGAGAGAGAGAGAGAGAGAGAACAGAAAGAAAAGGTGAATCACCGAAACTTGGCATTTCTTGATTTCCTTCTGTCTGGCCTGGAAGATCCAGACTACTACAGTTCTGACCATTTTTAGGAGCATGTCTACAGCTCCCCCAAAGCCTCCCTCCATTGCTCTTCTCCAGGGATCTCCTCCTCTGACTTCCAGAGGCCCCTACTGCAGAGTCTAAGCCCACCTCCTTCCCTCCTCTCTTTGCCCCCTCTTTTCTCTCCTTTTGCTCCTCTCCCCTTTCCTTTTTCTCCATCCGTTCCCTCTACTTCTTCCTCCTCTCTTTCTTCCCTTCTGTTTTCCCCCCTTTTCACTTCACTCCTTTCTCTCCCATTCCAGGCCCTCGTTTCTCTTCCTCTTTGCTGTTTTTCTCGTTCCCTCTACTTTTATCTCTTCCTTCTCCTTCCTTTTCTGTGCAGGTGGAGAGAGAAGGGGTCCTTCCTTCTTTATATCTGTAAATAGTGAGAACCTCCCAGGACAGCTGTGCCTCCCTTTCACCCTTCCAGACATGGACCCAGACAGATTTACCATAGCTCCTGTGGGACAGCTCCACTCTCAAGCCGGAGCTGCAGTTTCTGTGCTTGTCAACAACGCTTTCCCCGTTGCTAGGAAACGAGGCAGGAAGTGGCTTCCAGAAAACTGTGGGGCTGCGCCTGCGCAACTGTCAGCCTATTTCTGAAGACCGGTGTTGCTCCCTGCCTCTGGCAGGCTGCTTCCCAGCCTAGCAAAAGGTTCTAGAGGCAGACAGAGGGCGTTCCTTCCCCCATGTAGTTCAAGGCAATGAGGTCCGTGATGGGAAGGGAACTCCTGTGTGTTGCACGGATCTGATTTCTCCCCCTTTCCATGTTTTATGGAGATGTGGCAACCATTTGTTCCTGGAACCAGACAAGCGCAGCCAGCCCACTCTACTGCCCCCCTCCCCAAGGTGAGCTACTGATACTCACCTGGGCGCACCATAATACCCATGTGAGATATAGTACTATGTACGTGGGAAACCATAATACACTATGGACACAGTAGCACCGGGGGAGGGTGTTCATCCCAAAACCAATTGATTTCACTCATCACTGAGTATTTGATTTTATAACTGAGACTATCTAGAAAGGGTTGTAGGATGGTCTAAGGGTCATTTCTGTTGCTGTGATAAAACACAGTGACAAAGAGCAAATTAGGAGAAAGGGTTCAAATTAACTTACAATTCCAGGTCGCAATCATCCTTGTGGGGAAGTCAGGGCAGGGGCTTGAAGCAGCTAGTTAGATCTGCAGACAAAGAAAGGTAGGAAGAAAGAGAGAGAAGGAGATGGAGGGAAAGAGGGGGTAGTGGGAGGGAGGGGGAGTGAGAGAGAAGAGGGGAGGTGAGGGAGGAGAGAGAAGGAGGGAGTGGGAGGGAGGGAGGAGAGAGAATGAATAGATGCCTATGCTTGGTTCCTTTTTTTTTGCTAGTCCTTACACAATTAAGTTTAGAGAACGCTGCCTCTACCTTTAGGCTGGGTCTTCCCACATCAATTACCATAAGATAATTTCCATAGACATTTCCACCAACCAACCTGATCTAGACAATCCCTCACTGAGACTCTCCCCCAGTGATTCTACATTGTGTTCTATTTACAGTTAAAACTAACAATCACATAGTAGAAGAGTGAATCTGAGGTGTGTGTGTGTGTGTGTGTGTGTGTGCGCACGCATTGTCCCAATTGATTAAATGTATTGTTTTGCAGAATAAAAATGTGGGACTTTACAGCAACTCTGGTTGAACTGCATAAAGTCTTGACTCTGACTCCTCCCTCCTTGTGTTTCTGATCAAGGAGAATTCCACTAGAATCCACACATAGCCATTTGTTTTTCTTATAATACTCTGCCTATGCACCGGGTCTGTTATGTCAATCAACCTTAATGAAGGAAGGGGCTGCATATGCATGGGGGTGAGTTCCTCATTTCTGGAGTCAGGGTGTCAAGCTCGTTCAGTAGCTGACAGCTGTGATTAGAGGCAAATAGGACTCCAGCATGAAAGGCCCTGGCAGGAGAGCCCAACAGTGCAGAAAGAAATGAGAAGTGGCCAAACTGACTTCCAACCAGCAGTCAAGTTTGACTCTGTGCATAGGAAATCAATGAAGAGAATATGAGCCATTTTCTCCTCATCGACTTTTCATTCTAATTATTCCTTGGAGGTAGCTTGGTTTAATTTTTATGCCTTTTCTTTGGAGCGGCAGTATAATGAATATCCAAGGCTGTGCTGTATAACATGCCTTGGAGGAAATCTGGCATGCCCTCTGTCCCATCCTAGGTGCTGGGCATTCCTTCCACCCCCTCCGCCACCTTCCCATTTCTTCCCTTCTTTTAATTCACACTAAACGCTAAATAACCTTCAACACCAGTGGAAGTGTTAGGGACTAAAACTTGCAAGCACTCAGAAAAATGAAAGTGCAGCCACATTTCATTCTTCCTGGTGCTTTCAATGGACGGTAATCTGGAACTTTTCTCCCGAAAGGTGCTTTTGGTCAGTGTATTGTATCACAGCAACATAAATGAGATCGCAACATCAGTTTCTCAATGGTTATTCTAAATAGTCTAAGTACACAAATAAAAAATGCCAGAGTGCACTTTTGAAAATGTTTTATTATTTATCAGAAGGTGACTTTGGGTAGAGGCAATTTTAAAGTAAAAGTATGAAAACATAGACCATGATGACATTAACTCAAAGAAATATCAGATGAATAGACTATAGAGCAGAGAAAATTACCACAGAGGATAAAATGGTCAAGCAACCACCATACCATACAGAATCTGAAAGTGGAAACATACACTGACAATAACCAAGTTTCAAATACACGAGAGAAAAGTTTGGTACAGTTGGAATAGCCCATGTTCAGTCCATGTTCAGTGATAGTGAAGACTTTCACACCCTTACTGGATGATTAACAGGAAAGTCAATGAGAAATCTGCTAAGCACAGAAAATCTAAACTCTTCACCCAACAGGTTTAAATTGACATTAATAGAGCAAACCAACCAACATCAGTGACTACATTGCCTTTGATGTACCCACAAAACGTCTCCCGAGATAGACCATAACCTGGGCTGTAAAACAATCTCCAACAAATATTTAAAAAGTGAACATCAGACAGAATGTATTCTCTAACTGCAGGGACTCAACCCAAAAGCCAATGTCAATGATGGGAAAAATAATAAGAAAACATGTAAACAATGGAAAACTACCCAATATAATGCTGAATAATCCACTGATCAAAAAAAAAAATGTAAGGAAGATAAATTACAAACTGAAACAAAATAGAATACAATAAATTGAGTTTATGAACACAATATGATTAACAGCTCTAGGTGCTTCTCTAGAAAGCAGGAAAATCTTAGTCTGGACTCTCAAAACGTCAGGGGGGAAAAGGCAAAATAAATCTAATTCATAATTTTAGAATTTATGGTTTACATTTGAGTCTAAAATCCAGCTAACAGGCTTGGGTGTTAAGTGGAATCAGAGACACTACTTTGAAGACTGTGGGGCCTTCGGGGTTGGGACCTGTGGGGCAGAAGTAGATGGGTGGTGGCATCACAGTGAAGTACCAACTCCTGACTTTGCACTGCTCTCTCTGTTCCTTGGTCTGCAGCCAGATAGATAGACCTAGCAACCCACCCACCACCACAGACAGAGCCTCTGCCATGCCTTCCTCACCATGAGGAACTGCAACCCTCTGAAGCCATGAGTCAAAATAAATGCCCCCTCTTTATATGGGTTGGATATTTTTATTCCAATGACACAAAAGTAACTAATAATTTTCCAAAGTGAATGTCTGCAGGAATTCACTAGAAAATTCATTGAGGTAGAATCAGCACCATTTCCACATGATCAGAAAGCAGAAGTGGAACTCTCCCTATTCATTTCAAGCACCAAATCTGAACACCAAGAAGTAGTATAAAGAAAGAGCAGGAAAACCCAAAGTTGGGAGGGAAGGGAGGGAAGAGAAAGACAAACTGTAGACATCATTTTAAGGAATACATATGAAATGCTTAACAGAATATTACATTATACACCCAGAAAAATATTTAAAAAGAATTAAATAGCATTACAAACTAGGACTTATACCAAGCAAATGAGAAAATAAAACCACATAATCCTGTCAGAAGCATTGAAAGAATCCAATACTTGTCCAGCACTCAGGAGCCAGGGACAGGCATATCTCTGTGAGTTCCAGGCCAGCCTGATCTATATAGTGAGTTCTAGGCCAAAACTACATAGTGAGGTCCTAGCTCTAAACCTCTACCACCACCACCTCCTCCTCCACTCACAACCATCCATGAAAAAAGTGCAAACAGCCCCCCTCCCCAAATCCTTGGTGATTAAGGCTGTCATGGATTAAAAATGGATTTTCTGTACACTCAAAAGGAATATCTGTATAAGTTACAGACTGATGTCGTTAAGGTGAGAGACTGAATGTTCTTTTCCCAATTTTGAAAATAAAAAAGAGGATGCCTTCTGTCTGTTATTTATTTATTTCTGTTAGTTCTTTGGGAGTCTCATACAATGTGATCTGATCATATTCACCATCGCCTCCCCAGCCAGATCCAGGTCCACCTCCTTCATTATCCACCCCATGTTGTGTCCTTTCTCTTTTCTTTGTAAACCTTCAAGATAAATTTGTGCTGCCCTAAATAGTCTTAGATGTGTGGTCTTCCATTGGAGCATGGCTGAATTACCAGAGGTTGAATCACTTGAACAAAACTGACCCTTCATTTTCCAGCAGCTAACAATTGCCAAGTACTCCCAAGAGAGGGATGTAACTGTGTACCCAACTCTCTCCATGCTGGGATTTGGTTTAGCTTGAGTGTACCCAGGTTTTGTGCACACTGTTGCAACCACTGTGAGTTCCTATGTACATCTGTCCTGCTGTGTCCAGAGGATGTTTTATTGTAGTCATCTACCACCTCTGGTTACACTCCTTCCGTCCCCTCTTCTGCAATGAACCCCGAGCCTTGGGAGATGTATATGTGGGAGAGGTATACATTTCCTTTAGGGCTTAGCATTCTGTGGCCTCAAATTCTGTGCATTGTGGGCAGTTGTGAGTCTCTGAGTTAGCAATCGCCTCCTGCAAATAGACGCTCTCAGATAAGGGTTGAGAGATATTATAATCCATGAGTATAACAATAAGTCATTAGGAGTCGTTTTAATACTATGTCCACTTAGCAGTGTAATGGTAATGGGTCCTCCCACAGGGCCTATAACCTACCTAGCCATGGGTCCTTTCTGTGATAATGGCACCAAGTGTGGGTTTTGTAAATCTAATCAGAAAGTGGCTGGTCACTCCCATAGTGCTTGTGTCACTGTTATACCAATGGGCATGTCTTTCTATGCCAGTCATTGTTGTAGCTAGTATGATTTATGGTTACTTTTCTCCTCTGGTAGTTTTTTCCTTTTTAATATTTTTTCTTATTTTACATATCAATCCCAGTTCCTTCTCCCTCCCATCCTCCCATGCTCCCCACAGACCCCCCCATCCCACTCCCCATCCACTCCCCAGGGAGGGTGAGGCCTTCCATGAGGGATCTTCAAAGGCTGCCAAGTCATTTGGGGTAGGACCTAGGCCCTCCCCTGTGTTGCTAG